AAACTTGTACACGGGATCTCCCCCGATGTTGATATTGGGATTTACCGAGTAACAGCGCTGCTTTCATTTTCATCGAACAAAAATTATTACGACAATCGTAAAACAATTTACACCTTGAACTTTGGCACTTAAATATTATGGTTTAAACTCTGCATATTACGCACCTCCTCAAACATATGGACTGTCTCGAATATTTGATAAAGGATCTTAACTCAATCGAGTGAAATTTCTCATTTTTTTTATATTTGTAGTATAAATTAAAACACCTTGACATTTTATTATTAAGAACTACTTAAAACCTTTAAGTTACACCGTTTTTATTTCATGAATGAATTAATATTAATATGGCATACAGTTTGAACAGTTTTATGATGCGCCTAAAACTCAGTAGATTTCATATTTTATTATTAAAATCTTAACACATCTAAGGAAAACATAGGAAGCTGCACATTGGGTGGCAACAATGACTGCTTAAAAATGTTAGGTATGAAGCGAATTTTAACAATCTTTAACCATCAAAAATAATATAATATTGTTGTTGGTTTACGCGACAAATACACATATAAATAAAACTTCTTCTTTAGCAGCGACCATGATTGCTAAATCACTCATCGAGTTATGTAAACGATGTTAGTGAATTGCTTTAAAGATAAAGATTTATTTAAAGAGTAATACGAAGACCTTGAGCGCATGGGCCAAGTGAAAAAAGCATACCGAAGCCGGGCCAGTGGAGGAGGATATGCTGCAGTTGAAAGCCAGCAATTAGCGGGAAGTGGCACAGGACACCGCTGGAAGTTTCAGTTTCATTCAGACGCCAAGTCACATTTAGTGCCGCAGAGCCAGCGGAAAGAGTGAGCGAGACGCGAGTATTATTTAAGACTTGGTTTGACAAATGAAACGTCATCACTGTGTCAATTTGGTGAGGTGAAGGACATTTGTACTGTCATATGATTCTCGCGTGCTATACCGTATGTAAACAGTCGGTTGCGACCCTTGATCCACGCTAACGGCGATAAGCTATACTGTAAACATGTCTAATGGATCTAGTTTGCTTGTTCAACTTGATATAAATTATGCAGGAACTATTGGGAATTCGGTGTATATGTGACATAACCAATACCTTGCTATAGAGTATAGATGTTCGAAAAGCGTGATCGCTAAACTATCTGTCGATAACTGTCCATCTCTTTTTGCTTAGCCACAGTTCTATAAGTTGCTGTATGTGCACACATGATTAACTGTTAAATAGCGAAGATTTTAGTTGTGTTTTTTCGTAATAACTAAATATGAGTACATTTTTTTGTAAAGTAGTCAATAGATGGTCAATAATGTATAGGGAAGTATTTAGTTACTAATTGGTTTTTGACAACAACTAACAAATATGTAGTTGTTGTCAATATTTAGCAATCATAATATTCTGTATTAAAATTAATACATTAAATATTTTTTTTTTAATTTCGATGGAGGTGAATTGAAGTAAAAAACAAATAAAATCATTAATACGTTTATTTCTGATGTTAAACCACGCGCAAAAAGTTCTCAGTTAAAAAAATACGATATTAAGATTTCATTAAACATAAGATAAAAATAAGCCAAAGTGTTTACACATTATATTCGAACGACGCGCGCTAAATTATTAATAGCCTACACATCAAACTATTTGTTTATTTATTTTCCGATTTCTGGCGTGGTCCAATTAAATTTTCAAGGTACATTAACCGGATCTTTAAACTGTATCAAATGAAAACCTTTGATCTGCCAATATTATGAATGAGTCCCGGGAATAAACAAATATGTTATATTTTAAAGCTATTAATGCGATCTTTTAATAGTATTTGTCAGCTCTGAGGCAAAGCGCTAAATGTGTTTGGAACTTGAAACGTATTGGTGAAGCCAAAAATGAGGCACTTCTATTTCTACATAATTGTGCCCAAATTAATTTATAATTTATTTTTAAAGTTTAGCTTAGTTTCTTTTAACAAGTGTCTTAAGAAAAACGATTTCGTAGTGAACACTAAACAGCCAAGGGTTTTTTTGTACCGGGCGGAGGGCTAGGGGTAAAGGTGGTTATTTAGAGAGACTCATTGATTAGCAGATCATAGAGTGCATGACAGACTAAACCCAAAAGGCGGAGATGCCCATTATATAGTTTTGAATCGTCTCATATTAACTTGGTCCCGCGTAGGATTTCCGACGAAACTAATTGTTTTAGGTTTTTAGTCACATAATGATTTTAACTACTTTAAAAAAGATCAATAACACAACGAATCTGCACCATGCAAAGGTATATGGCTGATGGCTGATATGAACAACTATTGAATATTTCGGATTTTGAAGTGAAAACTTCTTTAGCGGCGTTGTACACTTTTTTTGGAATGGGAAAAAAAATGTTAAACTCGCGATGCAGGACACGTGACCTGATCGATAATTCGTAAGACGGATGGAGAGTAGACAGCTGGCGCGGCGTATTTAATGTAATATAAATTGTCATGTTTGTGTACGATAGCGCAGTAAATAAATATTGTATTCTACCACATAAATCATAGTACTTTTATACGATAATTAAAGCAATTCGTGCAAAATTATTCCCTAACCATACTAAAATATCAAAAATGCACAACGTTAATATTCAAGTTTTCACTTCTGCCGGCACTCCCGGAGTGCAACCCGTCGTTTTTTTAAGAGAAAACTGTGTAGCCAAGGATTTTTTGTTATCTACGTAATCACATGATAATACGCCTAATAAGATTAGGCGACTTAGTGTGGTGGTATTGCAATTCGTAACTAAGGGTGATTTTGTTAGATAAGGATTTGATTATCAGAAGCCGTATTTTATAATATAAGTTTTGTATTTTACGTCATTATAACTTTTCATAATTTTTAATGTACTAAATATGTATACTGTTTTATGGCAACTTTATTAAACATATTTGTTGCGTGTGCCAATGGACTTTGTATCCGGCTAATAAATAAATTAAAAAAAAAAAAAATATTTGTTGCGTTATGCAGTATGCTATTACAAGGAAACACGGTTAAAAAAGGTTGATGTCTCGAGTTATGTAACCTATATAATATTTAGAAGCGCAAACCAAATGTTAGCAATCATTGTAGCCTATAAAGTGTAAAACGTCAGTTAAGTAATAAATGTGCCCTTTAGTTTTTCTCACACTCATAAATTGTAATACATATAACATTCTCGTTTCCGATAATGTCCAATAGGTCGGCTACACTTATATTGAAGTGTCACTTAGATTTAAGAACCCTTAAATACATAAGCCAAGGTTTTTTTCTTTAGCAACGCAACCGCACTACCCCAAATTTTATGTAAGGTATAAGTTGATACCCAGCTTCAAACAAAGAGATTCATTTAACATACATTTGAACATCCCTCCAACAACCGCCACCGAACTTAACTCTCGTAATTTTTTTGATGTCTATAGGTATAAGCAAAGCTTAGTATGTAGGAAAAGGTAGATTAGATCGATAGCTTATGTTATATAATAAAGATATATCCTAGTATAGTATATAATATATATACACTGTTATCAAAAAATATTATTCCTTAATCCTTTTACGCACATTATATTAGGACCAATTAACATCCGTTACAGATAGAGACAAAAATATAGATTTAAATGAGATACATTGAGGTGTCAGTGGTGGCGCGAGATTTACTGCCATGTAGCAACAGGTGTCGAACCACGAGCAACAGTTAAGTCTAAGAAATCACTGGAAAAACTTTATATGGCGTAGAAATTACAATTATATCAGGTATATGAAACAGATAATAATACTAGTAATAATGTAAGCAATAATGTTTATACAAAATGCATATATGTCTCTTGATTATGTATAGTACATATTGTATGATACCTACCTCTCGCTACATTCCCTTGCGTGACCGGTGCTCCGTTCACTTTGATACGTCTCCCGTCTGCAGTACATTTCAATAGCATATTTTCAATACGCACTCACGTGGTACCCATTCAAAGCCGATTTAAAACAATTGTTTATATTTTTATTATTATCACACATTTACAACATAATCTGTGACACTGGACGATTGGTCGAATTAGATCACGACTGACGTCAACGTCAATTTATAACTAAATCGACACAAAAACAAGTATTTTTTAAAGCTAAAAATGTTGTAACTTATTAACACAAAAAATGGAATACTTTTTATTGACTAACACACAGTATTTAGATTGCACTTCACAATATTGTCTCAATTTCACAATTTTAGGAGTTTATTTGATACAACACTCCTAATCAGTCAACAGATACAAACTGAGAATTCGAGAAAATATGAGAACTAAGATTTTCAAACACCATGGGTATCATAGACAATAATAAACTCACAGATAATGATTGATATGTTTGGTTTGACACACTGGCTAGCATAAAATATGTCAACATGAAAATAAATAAAAAGTTTAACATTTTGTTATAAAGTTACCAAAATGTTAATAATGCCCATCTTATTAAAAATAATTTAGTTATGTTAAATTTTACAAAATTTTTAAATACGTGGATAAATCACATCATGTATTTTAAAACATTATGGTGTTTTCTTGGTAAAATGTCGACCCCACCAACCACTGATGAAGGGACCGGTGCTGAATGTTATTTCACACTGATCCCTTTTCCGAATGGTAGTACCATACTGTTGCTTCGTGCTAGGAGTTTATCAGTGATATTATATCTATTGCTTAGTCATAATATTAATTTTCGGAACATTAAAAATATTAAAAGGTAACAGTTAGCTACATAGCGTTGTTTTCAAGTTTCAAGCAAAACCATTCATTATAAATTGTATAAGTGACACTAGTATACTACTAATAACTAATATTTAATCTGTGATTGGCGCGGTGGCGGCAACCGCTGAACGCTATGTAATGTCAAATATGTTTAATACGCCATTTTGAAATTATCGTACATTCTTATTTCTTACGAATTCCTATTGCCTTCTGTTTGCTAATATTTAGCTTTCCTTTACCATGGGAAAAGATAAAAAAACAGAAACTGATGCATCAAGTGAAGAAGAATATGTAGTTGAAAAGGTGTTAAACAAGAAGATCGTTAAGGGCAAGGTTTGTAAAATTTTTTGGTTGCCGCTTGGCTCTTGCCGCTTAGGAATTCTTACTCGATTAAATAGCTTAAACAATAAAGTAGATTTGTTATATATAACTAATCTGTAAGCATTTACAGACCCAATATCTTTTGAAATGGAAGGGTTACAAAGAAGAAGAAAGCACTTGGGAGCCAGTAGAAAATTTAGACTGTGAAGAGCTGATTAAAGCTTTCGAAGATAGTCGAAAGGAAAAAGAGGCTCAAGTAAGTTAAAATATATTTATTATAAAAGATTATTTAAATTTTTCTCTGCTTTAGGTGTCAAAGAATTTTATGTATAATTAAATATACATATTTTTATCGTGTAGAAACCGAAAAAAACAGAAGAGCGAAGCAGGAAGCGAACACATGAGTCAAGTGAAGAAACAAGTAGTAAAGCGCGAGGAACCAGCGTATCTTCAGTGGAAGAGACCAAAGAGACAAAAAAAGATCGTGTTAAGGGACGAAGAACTAGTTTATCCTCAGTGGAAGACTCTAAAGAAGCAAAAAAAGAAAAGAAAGATGAGAAAATCAAGTCAGGATTTGACAGAGGACTCAAAGCAGAAAAAATTATAGGTGGGTTATAAAAAATTATAGACAGATACCTCTAAATTGCTGGTCAAATATACATCTGGATTAAAGATTTATTGCTTTAGTAATTATAGTGTAGTGGTAAAATAATAAATATATGTTTTGGTATGAAAGATAAGATGATAATATCTGCTCAAAATGATGAAAAAGGACTTCATCATTACATGTACTTCATTCTTTACCCTATGTAATTTCTCGTATTTGGAAACCAACAAATATGTCACTATTTACTGCTTTTGTAAAAAAAAATTATTAAGCTTAACATTAGAAGTATGTATTTTGTCTTTTTAAATTATAAGGTAAGGGACATGATAGCATGTACCTATGTCACTAACACTGCTGCCTAAATCTAAATTAAAATATGTAATAAGAAAATCTTATTGTTTTATGTGTGTGTGTACTATGTCCATATGTAGTAAGTTATTTTTAAGAGTCGACAACAAATATTTTTGTTATTGATTTTGATAGCCTTTCATTGGTAATTGTTTGCATATCAGGTGCATCTGATGCAACTGGTGAACTGATGTTCCTGGTGAAATGGGCTGATTCTGATGAGGCTGAACTAGTTCCTGCTAAGGTTGCCAACACCAAGTGTCCACAGCAGGTATGAGATATTCATTACATACATAACAGTATTCTCTGTGATGGATTTTACCCGAGCTAAAAAAGCTTGCCCTACATGATATTTTTCAAATCAGAGGATGTTTGAGTATGATAATATATTTAGGCTTCTAAGTGTGTGTGCAAAAGTGTGTCAGTATATATGTATATGTTTGCCCACAAAATACTTGGATACTAAAGGTGATCTGTTTTAATTGCCATCAAGTACATTCTACTTACAGTCCATGATTCCTGAAGATTGGTTTTGTAGTTTTTGAGATACACAATTCTGAACATTTATAATGTAGCCGAAAGATAGAGAGAGGTAGTGTTATGTTAAATAACCTTCATCACTCAAAATAAAAATAGATTTTAAATTTGACTAGCAGGTGTAGAGATTGATGCATTTAACCAAGTTTTCAGCTTATAAGAACCCAGTTTTTACTGACTAAATTGCTGTTGTTGATATACACAGAGTTTTTTTTATCCTCAGGTTATTGCGTTTTATGAGGAGCGATTGACTTGGCATAATCCATCTGAGTCCGAATGACTGACAGCGTGTGCCTGCTAGGCTCTTCAAACTTTGACGACACAGTGAAGTGACTTAGTGTTAATGTGAAGTGATAGTGCTCATTGTGTATTAGTCATAAGAGTCTCTTGTCCAATGTGACTATCATTATAGATCTTTATTCAGCTACTTCTAAGTTTTAATATTCTTCACCCATTTTAGTTACTATTTAGGAAATAGTTATTTAATTGGAGACTTATTTAGTTTTTTGCCTGACACTTATCAATGTATAAGTCTAATTAAATAAAGGCTATTTACAGCTTTCTTTCAACTTGCACCACAACCAAAGGGTTTTTTACAAAAACTACATAACTTTTTGAGAATTACTTTATTTAGGAAATATAAAAATTGTTGGTGCAAAATATTACATTGATAAATATTATCTGATATATAGCTAAAACTGTGAAAATCTATAGAATTAATAGCAATTAATCTCAAGCCATCTTTTCATAAATTACAATTTTAAGGTTTGTGTTATGTTGTTTTTGTAAAAAAAATATCAATTCAGTGGTTTTTGTAACAAAACATAAAAGATACTGTTTTTTGTAAAAAGATTATCATTATTATTAATGCTAATCTAAACAATTTTTTTTCAACATAGCTTGCAGTTTCTTATTTAGCTTTATTTTCCGTAGAAGGATTATTGCTAAAGTACTTATAATAGCATCCCATTCATTGTCAATATCTACTGTACATGTTTTCTTTAATTTGTCAATCAGTGAAATATCTTGATTATTGAGAAAATATGGCCGCAAATAGAAAAATGTATTTAATGAGTTTGAGCAGTCCTTATATATGAACGAATGCATAAAAAATTATCCAGATGATCAGCATTTAGTGCTAATTATCCATGCTTGTTAAGAGACTTCAACAGCAGCAATGCTTGTTCCATTAGTCTCAAGGTAAGTATTCATACATGGTTTATTTGGAGCTAAGTGAAGTATTCTAATATATAGTATATGGTATTATTCCATAGTCTTGTATAAAATACATCTCCTGTTCTTATATGTGGCAGTTACTTCTCGAGTAAGATACTTTGTGCTCGTGTTTGAGCAGGATTTTTTTTGTTTTTATGTCCTTTCTTTATAGCCTTTTGTATTATTTCAAAATCACTTTCGACGTTCGTATCCGACATCTTTGACAACTTGAATTAACGATTTCTTTTTTTACAAAAAACTGACAAATTCAGTTCACTTACGTTGTTTTACATACATAATTAACATTTTTGGTAGTTTCTGTAAAAGTATTCGATTTTTATTGTTAAATCGGTGTTTTTTGTAATAATGGGATTAATTGCGATAGCTTTTTTAACCGAATTGAGTGTTGGCGAAACATTCATGATCTAATAATAAAATATTTTTTGTTGGTTATGAACATACATAAGGCAGTTGTCCCACCAACGACGAGAAAACGACTAACTATCGGCTATTTTCTCGCTCAAGAAACGTACAATAGATATTCTTTTCGTGTGAACAAAAGAGATGCATATACAAACAGTTGATCGCTGACTGTTCACACTGCCGGCGAGCACTCGCTTCACTAGTTTGTCGCTGAGCGACAAGAGCTATGAAAGATAACACTCGCTCGGCGATACTCGCCAAGCGATTAGAACTCATGCCGAGAGAGCAACCAGTGATTATTTCTTGTTAAACTTTACTGCTGCGAGCGAGTGATGCGAGTAATCGCTCATCTCACTCGCACACTCGCTTATAGCCGAGCTACACAAATTTTGGAACTACGCACTCGCTCCCCGCGTCTCGCTAACTCGTTTCTGGTTCTAGCTCTACTCGTTACTCGTTAATCGTTGCCGGTGAGACAAGTGCCTAATCTAGAGGTCGAATTTTAATCCTAGACACAACAACAACAACGTTGAATACTGTATATCATTGCTACTTATTATCACTTGCTACTTGTAGACATACCCAATTTTTATTGGATTGTATGATTTGAATAGTAAATCTTTTAACCAAATTTTGACATCTAATGTATTTTTGGATTTACACTTATATAAGTGGAAGATTGTATAAATACAATGATTTTACTTTGTTATTCCATACTACAATAATACTTAATGTTTGTCAATAAGTATTTGACTTTGCCCTTCAAACACAGAAGTCTAAATTATGTCAAGACGTATAATAAATAATAAACATTAGCAAAGCTCTTTTATTTCAAGAAATGTTTTCACAAATATTTAAATATCTCTTAGGATAATCCTATTTGTCAAAACGTGTTGGATACGGTAGACATACTTAAGTCAAATCAAACTCCTAAGGGTCTCATCTATATATCATAGTGTGATAAACAATTGTTATAAAGAACAAATTAAATAAACATTCATTAGTATAAACTTTAATTTTTGATTTTTTTTTACACAAACAGCTTTAGTGGTTGAATAATTGAATTAATGCATTATAATCATGTCATAATAATGGTGTAATTTCAAAACTTGTATGCATATGCAAATGCATGGCTTTGTCTTTCGAAAGGGTGCGTAAATACTTAAGTACTAAAGAATTATATTTAGTATCAATAGAGCGAAAAATACGAATAATTTTTAAAAATATTCAATAAATGCAAGTATTAATGTAAATGATTGCATACAAATAATATTGATTGCATTAAAATAATAAATAATTAATAAAAAAGTCAAATGTTAAATACAAATAATGACTTACATAACTAGAGCCTAATTATCGTGTCCCAAACAGTATTATGATTTAATAATGAGAGATTCATTGTATGTTAGGTTTTTAATAGGTTGAACCCGTGGAGTCTCCAATGCAATGTGTATTCTATTTGAACAATGTTTAAGTTTTAATATAAAAATCTGTCGTTTATATTATAGCGATTATACGTATTGTTCGTGCTAAAGCCCTCGGTACAAAGATGCGACTGCAATATTAATTACTCAAAATTAAAAATTTAATTCCCAGTATAAAGATAAAGATTAAGTGATGAATACATTATTGATATTGAAATATGCTATATACACCTGCAAAAGAGCATTAATCTTCACTCTCACATTCCCTCTCAATTTCCATACTACGATCCTTACATCAAAGTTTTATATATAAATGAGTACTTAAGTCATACAAGTCAGTCTTCCGCGTGTTACTGCTTCAATTCAGCAAATGTGTCTTAATACTTATATTCGGATTTGCTTACGCCATTTCTGAAAATAATACTATAAATTAGAAAATGGTTAAAATTGTTGACTGAAAATGACAGTCAGATATTAAGATTATTTATTAGTGATTCGAACCTATACAAATTGATATTATTATTTCTGTTAAGCATTGGTTATAGAAATAAAAATGTAACATTCATATTTTTAAGAACCCGCCAAAACGCTTCTCTAGGCAAGATGGCGGCGCACCAGTCTTTGTGACACACCATGCATGCAAACATCAAATTGACGTGACTTTTCGATTTGTCTTAAATAACACATATACACATTATATTTCGATCAAAAACGAAAACGAGTTCTCCGACGAAATTAAACTTCAATATAGCATTAGACATGCATGCTACGTCATCGTCGATTCGACAAACCTTGACCGTTTTGTGTCACGTGACTGATTTATAATAAAAACAATAAAATAAAAATAAAAAAAATTAACCAGTGCCGCTACAACCTCTATAGGTCTTGGCCTCAGATTTCTGAATCTGTTTCATGATCATTCTTAAATCGTTATAAACAATATTTTCAGCTACATAGACTAACAAGAAGAAGTCATGTAAAGACGAAATCTAATTAAAGCAATGATTAAGAAAACTTATACAATAACTTGAAACCAAGAAATACCTACTTTGGTAGAAATGTTATTTTGTTTTATCAAAATGTATCCTTTTATCTGTCTGTCTAAAAGGTTCTTACGTGAGATGTGCGACATGTGAAGGCGAAGGTGGTGCGCGTACAAGAGGCGCAAGTCTCTCTGAAAAACGCTGCAGATTCCGCTCCAGCTCCCGCTGGTATTCCCGCTGCTCACTGCTTATCAGGTTCTTGTTTTTACGCACCGCGTCTTGGCATCTAAAATATTGTTAGGTTTCTTGGTAAACAAAGTTCAATTTAAAATATGTTTTTCTTTATTCAACGAACACTTAGTTACAATAAGGGCAAGAAAAATTGTAATTTGACTTAATTCATGATTTTTTTTAAAAATACGACTTACTTTTTAGAGAAGTCCTTGAACGCGAGTCTCAGTTTGTTCGTTAGTCTGGTTGGAGGCTGTGTGCCTTCTGCCACTGGCGCAAGGAAGACCTGAAATAGTTAATCTAGGTTTTGAGATTCTGAGAAATGTGTTCTATCGAAGGAATTTTATATACACTCCATAGTGATTCTATTCAACCTAGGCATATTTGCCTGTTTTATTATTATTAAAGCTTTATTAAGCTTTATTATTTGTTTTAGCTCTTCACTTATATATTTATCTAAATGTACTATTGTCATGTCTGGAAATAATTATTACTTTTGTTTATCTGTGAAACGGCTCTAGGTTATATCTCATTTAAATGTTACTTGAATTTTTCTCAGTGATGCCAACTTGGGGTTTTTCTCCCCAAATTTAGGGTGAATTAGGATGTCCTGGGGTTTTCTTAAAAAATGCACAATTTTAATCAATTTATATTAATCCTAGAACCTCACCAACAAACTAAATCAAATATAAACTCAAAGTGTGGCTATAACTGGATATACTATATCAAAAAGGTCAAATCAAGGTCCAAGTTCTAAATTTTGTACTACTAAATGTATTTTTATGCATATTTCAAATTAGCTTTCAAACCGAGTGTTTAACAAAAACTTTAGGGGATTTTATTCAATATTTAGGGGTACTTGAAGTTGGTCCTAGTGGGAACATTCTGTAGGAGTTAGCATAACTGCTTTTACTACTATATAGAAGATTTATTGCATCCGTTAAAACGTTTAAATTTGGCGCTGCTCAAGTTTACAAAAAAAAAAATGTTTTTATTAGATTCTA